CCCCGTGGGCGCCCCCTCGGCGCCGTAAACCGGCGCCCCGCGGGTTCTGCTCGTTTCTGCTCCCGGCCGGGGAATCTGTTGCTCCTCTCGGCCGAGGTGGCGATGTGCCTTTGTAAAGCCCAGCTTGGGGAAAGCAAAGCTGCCCAGGTATCGCCCGTGGCTGCTCCCTATGGCGAAACAGCCAAAAGCCGCCCTTCCGGCAGCGCGGGGCTCTCCGGAGACGCCCATGAATGGGCAAAGTCACTCCGGGAATCCCAGCGTTGCTTTACATCACCTCCTCGTGCAACCATTCGGCAGGTCTGGTTGGACGGGGGAGGTTCACTCTTCAAGCTCGAGTTTGGTGCCGGGGCGTTGGATTTCTCCTCCTTTCCCTGGGCTCGGTGCAGGACGAGGTGCTGCGCTCCAGCTTCCTGTTGGCCACGCTTCCCGGGACCTGCCTCCGTGTTTATTTTCAGCCCTGCTTCAGCTGGGCTGCATAAATGCAGGTGTGATGGGTTTTTTTGAGCCGTTTTATGAACTCCCTCAATCGGATCTTTCTATTTCACATTGTTCTCCTCTGGGCAAAAAAAAAGCGGCTTGTTTTGGTTTGGTTTTTAAAAATGCTGCTGCGTGTTCGCCTGCTCGGTGGATGGATTTGGGCTGCCCACGCTGGCTGTCTCTAATTCCTACCTTTCAGCTATTTTGGTTCAGAGATGTGAAATTGGAAGCTTCTGCTGAAATAAGTAGAGTCCAGCGGTGCTTTTTTATCACTCTGGCAGAGAAATGGTCGTGCCCTATTTTCAGGGCAGGTATTTTGGGTGCGTGGCTCTTTGTATGCAGTCGACTGAGCCAAATTTGGAACTGCTTAAGGTAAAATGGTGCCTGCTGGGGGTGTGGGCTGGAATTGGCATTTGGTGGCAACTTTGGGTGATGGTTGCATGGACTCTGCTGTGCAGAGCACTGGGTTTCATCCAGCAGCTTCCAGTCTGGGATGTCTTACCAGATACGTTTGTTTATTTATTTATTTTTCTGGCCTGTGATGAAGCCATTCTCTTATGGGTAGTTGCCACACTGTCTCGGAGCAGTTTGTGACCACCCGGTCCTTGTAGGACCTTGCCATGCCAAGGGGTTTTGGGCAGGAGTGGGAAGGTGAGGAGAAGTGAGGGGGTGCTGACAGTTTTCCATGCAGGAAAACCCTCCAGATCCCTGAAAATTAGTTTTTTATTGAAGAGCAGAAGACCAGCATCGACTAGAGGGCAGAAAACTAGGATGGGGTTAGGTTGGTAATTGTCCCCAGAGGATTGTTCTGCTGCTGAGGGATGTTGGACATGGGGATCTCCAGGATCTTTTGTGGGCGTTGGAGAGCAATTTTTGTGCCTGGACCAATTTTGATGGGAATTTTGAAGGGGAAATCTCTAAATTGTACCTGGTGGCTGCAAGTAATGGAGCTGTTCCACATGGAGCCAAATTGAACAGGCGCTGTGTGCTGGGATGAGGCTCCCATCCCTGCCCTTCCCCAGCTCCAGCGGGCTCCTGCACACCGCTTTAACGTGCTGATTTAATCCAACGTGGATTTAATCTAGCCTAGAGTTCCTTTGCTCCTTTTGTTGGATGTCTGTGCAGGTTAGATGGATAAATGGAGGGCGAACGAGGACCCTCAGCCCATCAGGGCGGCCGCACCGCATCCCGCAGTGGCCTGTGACACCCCTTTCCCCCAGTCTCCCATATCCCATGACACCTTCCCATTCTCATTATTTATGGATTTTGCCTCAGTGCATACGGAGAGCGTGTGGGGGGAAGGCAGGGCAGGGAAGTGGCTGCGGCCTCGTCCCCTCATGGCGCGGGGTGGCCAGGCCCAACGCGGGACGGCCTTGACACCTCATGGCGCGGGGTGGCTGGGCCCGATGTGGGGCGGCCTCGGCCCCCGCATGGTGCAGGGTGGCCGGGCCTGGCACAGGGCAGCCTTGGCCCCTCATGGCATGGCGTGGCCCCTCATGGCGTGGAGTGGCCTCGACCCCTCATGGTGCGGGGTGGCCCCTCATGGCGCGGGGCGGCCTCGGCCCCCTCATGGCGTGGGGCGGCCTCGACACCTCATGGTGCGGGATGGCC